ATATATATATATATATATCATAAGTATATATGAATAGCAATGAGCTTATGCTAAATTAAAAAAAAAAAAAAACAAGTAGCAAAAGCCTACCTTTCCAAAATACAAAATGTTATGTATGCATACTAATGACAGCTTTGGATTTGACTTTCTGATGGTATCTAATCTTCCAAACAAAATGGAAAAACTGTTGTAACATTAGGGACTTACCAGTTTTAGCAGATATATATATATATACTCACCCAAATTTGTTGTTGCTAAGTGCCATCCAGTCGGTTCCGACCCATTTTGACCCTGTGTAGGGTTTCTGAGAAGCAAATGGTGAGCTTGAACTGCCGACCTTGCAGTTCAGACGGCTTTGCTGCCTGGCGCATTAACCAGGACTCCCACCCAAGTTTAGTGTACTGTTTTTAAAGAAAAATATTTGAGAATTTCCTTTCCAGTAAAGTTTAGCTAAACATATTTTGGCTTAAAACTGTTTATTCCAGATATAATGTATAACTTCTGTAAAAACCCACCTGATTTATTTGTTTGTTGGAAAATTGATAACGCACTGGATTTATATTCTATGTAGAAGAAATACATTTCTAGGTTTCAGAATTATTGTAAATCAAAGCCTGTATTCAAAAGTGATGTGCTTACCACACTGAGCTTTGTTTCCTTGAGAACAGACTTCTGATTTTCTTATAAAATATAGAGGTTTCTTGGAGAAAAGGGCTGATTTTCTTTTTTCTTTTTTTAATGTTTCATTATGATTTGGGTGAAAGTTTACAGGATAAATTGGTTTTCCATTCAACAATTTATATACCTTTTGTGACCTTTTTTGCTACCCTACAATATAACAGCATTCTTCCCACTTCCTCCCTGTGTTCAGTTTCCATTTCTCCTTTCCTGCCTTCTAAATTTTGTCCCTGGGCAGATGTTGCCCTTTTGATCTTCTGTGGTTGATTGTTCTAAGGGATTCTTACATCTCTGATGTTATTGTTTACCTTACATGATTTATCTGGAAGTTGATCCATGGGGACGAGCTCTTCCATGTGTGAAGGGTTTCACCAGTCCTGTTATTTTTCTATTATTTTGATTTTTATTGTATATTTTTTGCCAGATCTATCCATGACCTTCTCTTGTGATCCCTTTTAAAGAGGTCAGCAGTGATGTTGTTGTTGTTAGATAGCATTGAGTTGGTACTGACTCATAGCAACCTTATCCACAGCAGAATGAAGCACCGCTTGGTCCTGCACCAACCTCACTATAGTTCCTACTCTTTAATCCATTGCTGTTGCCACTGCAGTACCCAGGCTCAATCTAGTTCTTCAGGTCTCAGGATTGTAGAGGCTGGAGTTCAGGTTTTTTATTAGATTTTTGGACAAATTATTTCCTGTGCCTTTGATTTCTTCGCTCTTCTTTTCTCTGGATTCAGAGAGACCAATAGTTGCATGTTAGATGGCTGTTCACAAGCTTTTATGATCTCTGTCACTTCTCACCAAAGTAAAAGATCTACTGTCTTTACGGACTGTTATGCTGATTGACCAACTATACTTAGGAGCCCTCAGTTCCAGAGATTCCTTCCCTCAAGGTGTTTGGTTATGGTAAAGAAAACTTTGTAACTTTGTCCCCTGTGTGCTCTACTCATGCATGGATATATTTATCACACATATAAATACATATATGTCGAAATAGTCTCTGGCAAGCCTGTATGTGAAGGTGCTTCAAAAAGTTCGTGGGAAAATACCATCATCTTTTAATTCCATATTTTCACAAACTTTTTGAAGTCCCCGTGGTTAACTTGGGTATCTGTCTATGTTGTTGTTGTCAAGTGCTATCAAGTTGCTTCCAATCATAGTGACCCAACAGAGGTTTGACCGGGAGCGGTTGGTGGGTTTGAACCATCACCTTGTGGTTCAGACCAACAGGCCAACCTTGCAGTCCAGTGCTTATCCTTCCCTGCTACACCAGGACTCTGTTTATGTAGCGACTTGTAAATTATTTTTATTACTGTTATTGCAGAATTGGTATCTAATAGTATTTAGCTTTTTTGTCTTTAAATCATATGTGCCTCCCATAGTCTTCCTTTGCCTTGATCTTTTTGTCATACTACCCTTGAAGGATAATGTAGTCCTTTCCGTCTAGTAACCAGAATGAACTGAGTTGAGATTGTTTTCATAGATGTTCAGTGGCAGATATCTTCACAAGGACCAAAGGTCTTCCTTAAGAGCTAAAAGGCATATTTTTCCTCCATCAAACAACAGCATCCTTTTTTATGCTAACCTCATCCTTATTGATTTTTCTTAACTTTTTATTTTGAATTGATTGAAGGTTTGCAGAGCAGATCATAAGTTTTACATTCAACAACATAAAATATGGAATGCTTCACAAGTTTGTGTGTCTTCCTTGTGCAAGGGCATTGCTAATGTCTAGATGGTTCCAATTTTAGTATATGTGCTGCCGACGTGAGCCCCTTATTAATTATCTTAAAGCCACACTTTTGCTCTTTTTTTTTAGTCTAGGTCCTTTCTGCAATATTTAGGAGAACCCTATTAATACATTCTTTTTGTAATACTGACCTTGAAGGGCAATGTGAGTCCTTTCTATTTGTTAATCAGAATAAACTGAGTGAGGTTGTTTTTATAGATTCCCAGTCGCAGATACCTTCACAAGGACCAAATGTCTTCCTTAAGAACTAAAAGGTACATACTTCAAACATCAAATAAACAACAGCATCCTTCTCTTCTTTGTTCTAGTGTACTGACAGGCAGAATTCACCTGTCACATCTCCAGGGTCTTCTCCCCTTGCACAGAGAAGAAAGCCACATCCAGATCCTCTTCAGATCCCACATCTAATCCTGCCACCTGTGCCTCCTCGCCTGGATCTAATTCAGAAAGGAATAGTTCGGTCTCCCTGTAGCAGCCCAACTGGTTCCCCAAAGGTAAGTCAGTTTTATTAGAAACACAGAAAATTGTGTGTGACAAGTATCGCTTCCTTTGATTATTTTCATGTAATCTTCATTATAAACAACTGTGATGAGTGTCTAATATTGAATATAGTGATCACAGTCATATTCTTTACTATACTACCAGAAAAGTTACATAATTACTTAAAGAGAGCACACATTTGTAATACTCCCCTGATTTTCTAAAATAAATAGCAGACTAAGTGTAATTATTCTGTAAAATGGATTTAAAAGGTCATTATATGCATTATAATAAATTGCAAGCTGTTATCAGTTGATATTTTACGCTCGTTTTCATAGTGTCATGACAAGAAAAATGTGATGGAGGTATATTTGCATAAGGACTTAAGGTGTGATAAATTACTGTACATGTTTCAAGGTGACTTAGAAGGAATAATTATATGTACTTTTTATACCCAAAGGAATTAATTATAAAGAATTACAATATTTGTAAAGTAATTGCGTTACTGTTTAACATTAAATATATAATTTTAATTCTACAGATTTAAACCCATGGTTTATTATTTTAGTTTTATGTAGGATTTTTCCCAAATTAAATAATAAGGTCATATTTTGCTTTCTAACATATAAGAGTTTTAGAATTAATCTTCCATTTGGTAACATGATTTTTAGTAATGTCCTGATGTGGTGCTTTGGGCTAATGCATCAGACTGCAAAGTCATTTGAACAGCAAGGTCGGTGGTTCAAGCTCACCAGCTGTCCTTGGAAACCCTATACAAGGTTGCTATGGGTCGGAATTAACTGGATGGCACTTAAAAAGAACAACAATTGTCATACATAATATTTACCTTGGTTTTAAGGTTGTGGGTTAATGCGGTAAACTGCAACGTCGTTGTGGGCCATTAAAGCCAGCAATTCTGCTCACCAGCTGCTCCTTGGAAACCCTGTACAGGGTCGCTATGAGTCGGATCCCGACTCGATGTCACTTAACAAAAAAAAAAACAATTAAGATTATATATACACAAATGGTATGGGATGTAGGATAAGCACTGGATCACAAGGGTGGTTCAAGCCATAGGGTCAGTGATTCAAACTCACCAGCCGATCCTCAGAAACCTTATATACATCATTGCTGTGAGTTTTAACTGATTCTATGGCACTTAACAACAGCAATATAAATTAGATTCCTGTATTCTCTCTTATGTCCTGCCATTAAAGACACAAGTCATTTATCTTACTTGTATAAGAAAAATCAAAAGCTGTGAAAAACAGATTCAATTCAATATTTCCATGTAAGAAACAGACTGATTTTTTTTTTTTTTTTTTTAATTTTAAGGATCCATAAAATTCAAGCATGCTCCACAAACAATGCTGGTCTATTCTTTGTGTGTGTGGTGTGTGTGGTCTTTTCTTTTTTTTTCCTTCACTATCCTGGTGTGGCATTCTAGGGTAACCACAAGGTCAGCAGTTCAAATCTACCAGCCCCTCCTTGGAAATTCTTTCAAGGTCTCTATGAGTTGGAACTGACTCGGTAGCACTTAAACAACAGTAGTAACAATAAAAAATATGAATATATTTCCTTCATATTAGTTGCTGTATTGCAGCAGTTAAAAAAAAAAAAAATCAAAAAGCACAATTCTCATTCTTCCAGAAATACTAAAAATCAATTCCCTTTCTAAAAAATCATGTCAGAAACTGCAAGTTCCTGAATGATGAGTGTCTTCTTTCTTTTCCAAAAATCATAGAAATGGGTTAAAAAAAAAAAAAAAAAAAACTATTGGCATGACATTATTTTAATGCCAGTCATTCAAACTTTTTATATAATTCTGATACTCTTTTATAGTCCATTAAAAAATGTTTATTTTGTTGCTTTCCCCTCTATAATTGCTATATATATCTGCCCTCTAGTTAATTACGCACCTTCCTTTTCCCTTTCACCTTGGTTAAAAGTAAATTATTTTGATATTCTGTTGTTTATTTCTATGTCATTTTGTAATTATAACATTTTAGTTTAAGTACTCATTTGTATAAAACATCCTAATGAAACATGTATATATGTATTTTTTACTCATTAAAAAATATAATTTAATAGTGATAAAAAGCACCTATTAAAAGGTGGCATAGAAATCAAGTTTCTAATATGGCTTAAAAGTCAAAAACACTAAAGTCTTAGAAGCTATTGGAGGTCATGGTCTTAACTTTAATTTTGTATTTTTCTCCTGTATTTCTTTAGTCATCTCCTTGTATGGTGAGGAAACAAGACAAACCACTTCCAGCTCCACCACCTCCCTTAAGAGACCCTCCTCCCCCTCCGCCAGAAAGACCTCCACCAATCCCTCCTGAAAATAGACTGAGTCGACATTTCCATCATGTGGAAAGTGTGCCTTCCAGAGACCAGCCCATGCCCCTTGAAGCCTGGTGCCCTCGAGATGTGTTTGGAACTAATCCATTGGTGGCATGTCGACTTCTAGGGGATGGCTCTCCCAAGCCTGGAATCACTGCAAGTTCAAATGTAAATGAAAGACATAGTAGAATGGTCTCTGATCCAGTGCTTATGCGGAAACATAAACGCCATGATTTGCCTTTAGAAGAAACCAAGGTAAGAAATATGCAAAGCAGAAGCTAAGGAATCTACTTATAAACTCTTCTGATGCAAGGTAGCATAAAAGGCTAGGCAAAGTTTTTTGGCTTAGTGTGGCCCTTGCCTGCAGGTCTTTAATTATCTCCATGTTATAAATAATCAGAAGCTCATTAAAACTTGAACTTAAAAGAAGTCAGGATGAAGATTCTAAGTAATGATTTAATTTTAATATGCCACAGACAATTTTCCAGAGATTTATTTCACCTTTCCTTATTTCATCTGCCAAAAATTTCTCCTGTGGTGACTTTATTGGATAGGCACTGGATTTCAAACCACAAGGTCCACGCTTTGAACCTGCCAGCAGCTCTGAGGGAGAAAGAGGCTTTCTGCTCCTATGAAGATTTTAAGCCTTAGAAACCCTATACAGGATCACTATGAGTTGACATTGACTTGAAGATACCTAACAGCAACAACAGCTTGTTGGTGGGAGTATCAGCACTGCATTTGTTTTTAACTATCGTAGTGCTAGCAATTTAAAACATATGTTCTATAATCTTTCTTACTGAGTGCCATTGAGTAAGTTCTAACTTATAGTGAGCCTGTATAGGGTTTCTGAGGAGCAGCTGGTGGGTTTGAACCACAGACCTTAAGGTTAGCAGCCCAGTGCTTATCCTACAGCACGACATGTTGTTGTTGTTATGTGCCGTGGAGTCGGTTCCAACTCATAGCGACCCTGTACAGGGTTTCCAAGGCTGTAAATCTTTATGGGAGCAGAAAGCCTCCTCTTTCTCCCGCAGAACAGCTGGTAGTTTCGAACCGCTGACTGTGAGATTAGCAGCCCGATTCATAACCACTACGCTACCAGAGCTCCTTACGGCACAGCATAATATTTAATAAATCACTTGTAGAAATTAGTTATCTCCAAGTAGCTCCACAGAATAAGCACATGACTGCGAACCACAAGGTCAGGGGTTTTGAGCCCACCAACTGTTCCATGGGAGAAAGATGAGTCTTTCTGCTTCTACAAAGATTTGAAACCTTGCAAACCCTATACAGGGGCACTGTGAGTCAGAACAACTCGGCAGCACCAACAAGGAAAGTAGGATGCTTTAGGCTGCCCGATTAAATTAACTCCTCACATTTAAAAATGTCAGACCCAGTTCATGCATCCAAAAGCAAGTTGTTGTGCCATAAAACTGAAAGAAACTCACACACATCTAAGGTTCTGTCTTGGATGATATTACTACTATTATTTATATTTCTGAGCGAGAACTTATGCATTCTGAAACCAAAGATTCAGCAACAGTAAAAATAAATAACTCAGTTTATAAAAAAAAAATAACTCAATTTAGAACTATTGTTAGGCCCATGGCACAGTTATATCTTTTTCTCTTTCCTCCAGTGGTATTTATGCTGTGGGATCATTGTCACATTTCCTCTGCCAAAAGACTTTGCCTGCTTTGAAGATTGTGATATTAGAAGTCTATCTTTTTTGATTTTCAATTATATACATATTTGGAAATTTTTTATTGTGAATTGAGTGAAGATTTACAGAGCAGATCATCAGTTTTACATCCAACAAATCATTTTGTTTCACCTCAGTGATTGCAATCCCCTCCATGTAACAGCAGTTACTCACATTGTGCCTGTGAATTTCCACTTGCTTTCCTTCCTAGTCCCTCTAAACCTTGTTCCAAGGTAAATGTTGCTCTTTTAACCTTGAATGGTTAACTGCTCTATGATGAACATACCTCACTCATGTTGTTATTCCCCCATATACCACTCCACCACTTGGTTACAAATTGGACTACAGGGTGTGTTTCATTCTAGACCTGAAGGGTGGCAGATGGCCATAGTCTCAAGTTCCTCCAGTCTCTTTCTGACATGTAAGCCCAGTCTTTTAAAATTTTGGATTTTCTTCCACATTGTCTCCCACTCTATCTAATATGATCCCTTTCAGAACAGTTGGTAGTGGTAACCAGTCACCATCTAGTTCTGGTCTCAGAGTATGGAAATTGATGTTCAAGTGTTCCATTACTCCATGGGACTAATTGATTCCAAACATCTTTTGTTTTCATCACTCTTCTGGCTTCCACACATGGAGAGCCCAGTAGTGCACCTCAGATGGCTACTCATGAGCTTTTAATATCCCAGTCTCTATTCACCGAGGCAGGATATATAACATGATATCCCCTAGGTCTATGTTCCTGAAGCCCCCAGACTAGCAACTCATTCCCTCTAGGTGTTTGATAATGTCTAAGAAGTTTTCATCATTTCTTCAGTTTATTTTAGGGGACTAATCTATTTCTTTAAAAGAGTAACCTGCAGTTGATGGGCTCATCCTATAGTAAATTGAGGAAAGATACAAGCAGCATGATATATGGCATGTTTTCAACTCCTGTGCATGTTTGAATCACTTGTGGTGTGTATGAAGCTAAAATTATAACAAAAACATTGGGTAATAATATTTAACCTTAGTAATAGTCTACTGTCCAATAGGAAAAGTTAAGGCTTTAGTGTATAATTACAGAAAAGAAGGGAGGAACTTGTTGTTGGCCATGACCCTATGCCAATCTAAGTAGCATGTAAATATAACATAAACAAAAAACCAAGCCCATTGCCTTTGAGTTAATTTCAACTCATGGTGAGCCCATGTATCTAGAGTAGAACTGTACTCCGTATGGCTTTAAGTCTGTGACCTTTCAGAAGTAGACTTTCGTCCAGAACACCTGAGTGTGTTTGAATTACTAACCTTTTGGATAGTAGTTAAGCACTTAGCCATTTGTGCCACCCAGGAGCTCCTATAAAAGGGAAAGTACTTTAAAAAGCATTATATTATATTCTCTGAAAATATAAAGTTTGTTATCCTGAAAAGAATTTTTTACAATCTAGAAACCTGATTGAGGGATCTGGTGTTATTTAATTTTTAATGATTTCATTTCCCTAAACCTTTATTACTTTTCATTCTTAAATGATCACGGTTGTCTTGAAAAGATAGTTGGATTGTGCTTGAACGTGAATTGATTGGTTTTATCTTAGTAGGATGTTACAAATTACTTCCTGTGTGGACTTCAGGAACATTTGAAGCATAATAATTATCACATTTACTGAATACCTCTTGTTTTAGGATTCTTTTAGATATTTTATATGTTATACAGTTTTATATTAGTGTAGATCTAGCTTCCTGTGTCCAAAAATAATGTTGAATTTTTTGTGGAGAGACTGCAGTTTTAAAAACTGAGGTTATAATTTATTAGATGATAGGTATGACATTTTATTTTTATTAACTATGGTGGTGTGTAAGTAGCCCTGATAGCATAGTGGATTACGAGGTAGGCTGATGCTAATTTGTAAGGTCAGCAGTTTGAATCTACCAACTGCTTCATGGGAGAAAGGTGAGGCTTTCTGCTACCCTAAAAATGTACAGCCTTGAAAACTATTACAGGGTCACTATGAGTCGGAACTGCCTTGACAGCACACCACCACCACTACCACCACCACAGTGGTGTGTGCCAGGATTGAATTATTTCACTACAGTATTCAATCTGTATGCTGAGCAATTAATCCAAGAAGTCGGATTATATGAAGCAGAATGTTGCATCGGGAATGAAGGAAGACTCATTACAATCTGCTATATTCTGATAATACAACCCAACATTTTGGAAATGGAACATGCTTAAAATACTTAGTGATAAAGATCAAAGACTAAAGTCTTCAGTATGAATTGTAATTCAGTGTAAAGCAAAGAAAAACCCACACAAGTGGTCCAATAAATAACATCATGATAAATGGAGAAAAGGTTGAAGTTGTCAAAGACTTCATTATTCTTGAATCCACAATCAACACTCATGGAAGCAGCAGTCAAGAAACTAAATGATGTATTGCATTCAGCAAATCTGTTGCACAAGACCTCTTTAAAGTGTGCAAGAGCAAAGATAACAGTTTGTGGACTAAAGTAGTTTTAATTGCCTCCTATGTATGTCGCTATGGGTCGGAACCGACTTGACGGCACTTAACAACAACAACAATGTATGTATAAGTTGGACAATGAATAAGGAAGACTGTAGAAGAATTCGTGCATTTGAGTAATGGTGTCAGAGAAGAATAATGAAAGTACTATAGATTGCTAGTACAAATAAATCTGTGTTGGAACAAATACAGTCAGAATGCTTCTTAGAAACCAGGATGACCAGATATAGTCTCTCATACTTCCGGCATGTTATCAGAAGAGACCAGTCCCTGGAGAAGGACAGCATGCTTGGTAAAGTGGAGGGTCAGTGAAAAAGAGGAAGACTCCTCCATCCCTCCAATGAGATGGCTTGGCACAGTGACAGCAGTAGTGGGATAAAGCATAACAACAATTATGAGGATGGTGCAGGACCAGGCAGTGTTTCGTTGTGTTGTATGTAGAGTTGTTATGAGTTGAAATGGACTCATCTGCACTTAACAGCAACAATAGTGGTGGTAGTTTTGTGCCATTGAGTCAGTTCCCACCTTGTTTAGGGTTTCCAAGGCTGTAAATATTTCCAAGGCTGAAAGTCTCATCTTTCTCACAAGGAGTGACTGGTAGATTCAAACTGCCAGTCTTGCACTTAGTATAGTAGCACAGCACATAACTCACTGCCACAGGAGCTCCTGTACTAACTGTTGTTGTTGGGTGCCGTTTTACCAACAGGTCTCTTCAATCTTTGTTGTTAAATACTGCCAAGTCGGTTTTGACTCAGAATGAGCCTGTATAGGGTTTCCAAGGATCAGGTGGTGTGTTTGAACCACGTACCTTGTGGTTAGCAGTCCAGTGTGTATCATACAACACCACATTCATAAATAACCCTCATCAGGATTCTCTAAGGCCAAGCTCATATGTTGTGTATGTATTCATATTACAATGAGTATATTCTCAAGGCCAGTATTATTTTACAACTGAATTTTGTTTTATAACGAAATTAGACTGCTAAGACTTCTAATTTCAACCTAGTTGCTTGCTTTCTAAGTTGATTATGAAAGACTTATAGTTAATA